ACAACATATTTACAAATTGCAAGCAGTTAAAGATTTTGACTTTCTTAGAATTAGACCTCATGGCATTGGGTCTGAAGATAGCTGTCTTCTGGGTTGTAGCACCATCTAGTCTGGTACAAGTATACCAACATTTCGGAGGTCATTGTTGCCTCCATCATCAAGGTGATGAGTGCCACTCATCTTCTATCACACTACATGGCGCTACAATCCAGAAGATGACCATTTTTAAAACAGAATATTTGTAGGTCTGGAAGTCTGTATAACAGGAAAGCAGCTTTTATGAATTATTTCCAGAACTGCATGTGATATTTGCTGTCATGTCAAGACTTTGGGGGCCATGCATCCTCCTAGACAGCCATATTGGGGGCTCTCTCCATGCAGATAAAGTGGCAAATAACATGAAACTGACCACTAACATTCATCTAGTGTTGAGGTTAAGAATGTCTTGAGCTTTGCCTCCTCTTCCCTGTATATCTTTGTGGCATGGTGCTTAAGAACAGAAACAACCTTTTTTATGTTTATGAGTATATTTTGAATCACTGATTTTTATGTAATACAAATAATTCAGCATTATAATTAAATCTTATACATCTAATAGGTCAAGTGGTGTATACTGCATACAATTCTTGTCCATGGTATAACATTGAAATAAATATATTTGGCATGGATACAAGTCTTGGTTTGGCGTCAAGAGGCTAATTTGGATTTCAAGTACTTAATGTACAATGCTGTGTTGTATTTCAGGAGGTTATGCAGTAGGATCTGAGCCAGCCCAGCTGCTTAGAGATGGGATCTTGGATTTGTTTTCAAAGCTCAAGCCTGAAGCTGTGGCACTGGTTGATGTTCTTGCACCACCTGACTTTGTCCTGAATTCTGTGCTTGGAAAATCAGACGGCAAGGTATACCAGAACCTGCAGGCTACATTATTCCAGAATCCACAAGTATTTGAGAGACCTTCATGGTGGGAGGACGTGGTTCACTGGCGCCAGCATTCCAAGCTTTGAATTGGTCAGTAGATTCACATACGATGTCATGGTCTGATGGTTAGCACTCTTAATATTTTGAGAAAGCATTGATAATGTAATTATGAATATGTGCCAAAGTACTGTATTGCACAGCAAATATATTATCAGGGAGAAGCTTGTAGTAATGGTAAATAGTTAAAAAGTCTAGGTGTCAGCAAGGTCAGTAATAGTTTATGGTTGTGAATTTTATACATTAATATATCTAATGGAAATATTTTTATATAATATTATGTTACTGTTATGTGTAGGGCTCCAGATATATACTTTTTCACTCCACAGATGCATAAATTTTATTCTGTCTAAATGTATGGGGAAATAGATTTTGTTTAGGGGATAACAGATTTATGTAGAATTTCTGGTTATGTGAATTACAGTAACAGTTTATGCAGAAATATTATGTAAAATTTATTCTATAATTATTTTTTAATAGCTTTTGAAGATTTCTGATGGTCATAATAAATATTAATTGCATACTTATCAAACAATGGACTTTTCTTTACAACACATTGCCAGTGTATCTTCTCCCCAGCAAAAGCACATATGCTTATCAAGTATCCCACACCAAGGGCCACAAAAGCCCCATAAAGCTTCTGAAGATTCATCAGAGGTTTGTTGCCGTCTTCTTTGTCTGTATTATCCACTGACACAATACTGAGCATCACATCTTTGAGCCATTTCTTGATAAGACCTGCTTCAACAATGCGACGTAAGAATCTATCCATGTGGGGCTTTAGAGGCGAGTTTTTCTGAAGGCCAATTGATACAGGCATGTGAATTACACAGTCATGCATTATATGGAGATTCCTGTTTCCTCCTGATTCTTCATTTGTGTTCACATCTTTTTTGGTACCAACTTCCTTCACTATAAGTTGTCTTCTAACACGTAAATATTGTAGAAAATAAATATTTTCATAGTAAGCAAATTCTCCTTTAGCCACTTTTTCAACTGCAAGATCAGTATCATAGATGACCTCAAACTTGAGGCCAATTTTTTGTCCTGAAATATCCAATGAAGTAAGAAAGAACTGCTTTATCTCTTCACCCCAGCCTCCACAAGTAATATGGTTGTCTACCAACTGCTCCATTGTGTCTATGGTGACCCTTTGAAATTCATAAATATCACTATAATATACTATTAATCTAATAAAATTAAATTAAAACACTCTGATTTTTCATTATTAGCTTATGAATTCTTCTGTAAACACTCAGCTTTTCGATATTTTACTTCCTTCATGTTTCACCATTTCCTGTGCCGTACAAATTCACTATGACCTGACAATATCAGATGTGTTGATTTAATTGTCTATTATACATGGTATTTCAATATACAAAATATGGGACACTTAATTTTACTACATTCTGCTATAATAGCTGTGGCAAATTCACTGAAGCCAGTGACATTTTTGTCTGCAGTGAACTCTGTTGCCTTTTTTTTAACGGTATGTGTTCGTATACACATACTGCAAGGAGAGAGCCCCCACTGCACACACAATAGGAATCTAGCAAGTCTGCATATGGTGGAAAGAGATCCCTGCCCTTGCCAAGAATCAAACCTCAGTCATCCAGCCTACTGTCTGTCACATTACTGACTGAATTACTGCAGCTCATACTGGCACACATTGGTTTGCTTATTTTAAGGGCTGGGCTGAGGTTAGGGTATTGTACATTAACCCTTTCACGACAAAAAATCTTAGCAGTGTGTTAGCCACAATTCATCCAATTTTTCAGAATTGGACATCTTTGCAATTTTATCCCTGAACATATAAACATAAAATTCATTATAGCTTTAACCTGATCAGTATCTAAAACACTAATTTCTTACACTGTGGGGTTTCTTGAAAGAATAATGTTAAAGTATTCTGTATACACAGTATACAGTTCCATCCATCAATGCAAAGTGTGCTTTTCAATGCAGAGAAATATACCTTCAAATAGCGTAAAATTTTAACAGCAATTAACAGTATGGCAAATAAAAAAGATTTCACTGTACTTACTGTTCAGATTTTTAAGTTCCAGGTGAGCTCTGATTTAGAATAAAATTTAAATAAACACTTAAAAAGACATAAATAATGAATGGTGATGTTTCAAGAAAAACTATTTTGAAAAAGATGTCTTACCTGGGAGTTGGGTTGGCAAGAATTGCTGTCATGCTTGCTCGATAAGCAACCACTAGTAGAATGCAGTAGATCCACCACCATCCTGTCAGGACCCGGAGAGACCAATCTGATGGAAACTTTGGGAGAGAAATCAATAGCAGCATGCCGTATGTGTACAAGATTCCATTTTCCAACTTGCTGAATAAGTAAAGACCATCACCAGTTTTATTCCTCTCTTCTTGTATATGTATTACTTTGCTGTCATTTATTTTGCTTCTTTCTTGTACCATGATGGCATTATTTGTTTGCAAGTTCATTGCAGTAGATACAATGTGGATGTGGTAGTTGGCCAGGGCATAAAACACAAATCCAGCCAGAATCAGAGCCACAAATACTGCAGCCCACATCAATGGCCTGAACAAATACAAATAAAAATGAGGACAAACATTACAGTTAATTCTCTGGTCAATTAATGGCAGTGTTTCAACTGCAAAGGTTATGTAGTGATGAATGACCAATATGGTGATGAATGGTGAGTGTACAAATGTAGGAGTCAGTTCTGTTTCAAGGAACTATTTCAGCACTTACCAGGAGAGACTTTGGGTAAATCATAAAAGAATTCATATTAGGATAGATGATAATCTATAATATTCGAACTATTAATTCTTCTCTGTATATCTCTGCTCTCTGGAATGATCAATGAAAAGAAACCTGTCCTACAATCTCTTGATGCTTCAAAATAATTATCTCCAGCTTCTAACAAACTTAATTTATAAATTACTGTGAAAGTATAAAACAAAGCAATGTCTTTCTGCTAAATACCAAAGCATGGAAAGGGTTAAACAACCTAATAACCAATCAATAAACTAAATTTACTGCCACTCTCATGGGCAGTTACTTGCTATGATTCTTACCTGAAAGGTAGAATAAGCGTCATCCAAGAGTTGTTAGTGAGCGATTCTGGCGTGAGAAAGGTGAGACACTCTGTAGTGTATGGAATGGTCAGATCTATGAGTTCCAAATAGTATGGTGTGTAATATAAATTTCCCAGTGCAATGTCAGCCTGTCCACTCATCACTTCTCCCAGCAGACCTGAATAGGATCCATTCAATTGTCTGCGACCCCATTGTTCCACATCTGCATTCTCTGCTTCATACACATCTGGATGGAAATTCATTACAGTTGCAAGTGTCCTTAAAACCTGAAACACAGACAAAGGTGAAGAAGTTCAGTGTATCAAGAATTTTGCATGTCTACATATTCAGTATTTCAGTTATTTTCTCTAAAAGTGAAGAGCTGATGATGGTTATAAAACCATTTGGAATCATAGGGTGATACCAATGTTTTGGAAAACATACTTTCTCCATTTTATGGCTGAAGGTGATATGTACTTAAAAAACATTACTATCTACTACAAATCCACATGACTTTAAAAATAAGCAGACCAACATTGCCATTTTTATATACTTTGTGTTTATCCCATTGTTGTTCCCTGGTTCCTTAATAATTGTGTTAACTGGTGGAATTATTATGAATGGGTTTTTAAAGGAAATAAGAAGAAATTATTGTTACCTGTTTTAAGGTATTGTTCTTGTATATGCTTGGAGGAACTGAAAAAAATCATGGGAAAACTCATTCAGGGTCATTGGTCTCCAAATCATGACTTGGCCTAACAAAGCAGGAGTACAAACCACACCATAATATTTGGTGGGTTTATTCTATTCCTAATAAATTAAAATTGCTGGAAGATAGAATGAATACATTTTAACAGAAAATATGACTGTTTAGTTTAGACATTTTTGTTTGGTGTTGACAAATATCTAAACACATGTTGCAGCTCTTTCACCAGTTTATCTAAAACACAATCAATCAGTTGTAGCATTGCATTGCATTTATGAAACTTTTGGTCACTTGATTATGTAATTTAGTGCAGGTTTGAAGATTTGTATAGTTTGTTCTTCTTAGGATGTTTCAATTACATGAGAGTCATCTCTAATGACATATATATCTGTTCATATCTTTATACATCCTTGTGACATGTGATTGCAAATAGCCTTTGGAAAAATATGAATAAATGACACTTTGTTATTACACTTCCCAAATACACCTGAAAACTCTTTATGTATACTTACCTCTATCTCAAGTCCTCCAAAGCCAACAGGACCATTGCCTTCCACTACACTGTCTATCCTAAGAGAAGGCGATGCCATTTTGACGCTTGCTGGTAGATGCTGGAAAGTAACAACCCTGAGCTGTTGTCCTCTCAGGTCTGAGGTCTTCTTTCTGAACAGATCAGCCCCAGAGCGGAATTTACCCTGATGCCATGTGTCCAAGTGAAGTGGGACAAAGGTACTATCAATGGGTGAGGGAAAAGGCACAGTGCTGATGTCATACCATGGATGGATTTTTTGGCGAGTTATAACAGATCCATGATGTCTTCCTTGCTGGTGTAAGAATACGACATTCACAATTTTTCTCCAGAGATAGTGCAGACTGGAGTGGAATAATCGGTGGTCATGTAGTAATATGAATTTGGCTCTGGTGTCAAGCACTCTGTGTCTGCAAGAATTTTTGGAAAGTCATTAATGAACATAAGAAACTTAAAAACAAATTATTATAAACCTTTAGTTTGTATCCTGAAATAAGTTAATGCAGAATAAGAAAGAGTATAAATTGGTATGCCAATAGAGTAGACATTGCCCAAACATATTCATTCCTATTTTTCATTCTTCATTAGATTGCATATTTACTTATACAGATACAAATCTACTGCTGCAAAGATGAATCTATTACACTGCAACAAAATCAGAAATTATTTTAATTTGTATTTTAAGTGTTTCAAAAGTAGACATTAATGTGATCTATATTTTGTCATATATCAATTTCTTATATGAGGAACCATTTTGAAGCATATTTATGGAGTATAATTTAAGCTGCATATAAAGTAGGGGTTATAATCTGACAGATATGATCGCAAATTAAATTAACCTGATTAGAGTTACTTTACAGGTCCAATACAACCTTCCTTTAGAATTTCAGGGGTAAGGTTCTATTCTGAAATATCTGCAATACAGCAGTTAGTCATAATACTTAAAATGATGATTTTTCAATTTAACTTTATCTGTCCACTTACATTTAACCAATTTTTTTAACATAATTCTGTATTCAAGATTCTATTCAAACATCCTCTTTTAACATATATTTCTGTTAAGTGGTCTTGCAAATTTTGTAAGTGAAATATAATTCAAATTACCTGTCTCCAAATTTGAGGAATCGTGACACTTTCCCACCATTTGAAATCATTAAAATATAAACTTGACATCCTGCTCTTTTGACATGACGAATTACAGAAAGGGTTTTGTAGTTTGGACTCTGCAAATCTTCTTTTTCCTTGACAAGCACCTGTAAAGGAATGCAACAAGTTCAAATATAACTAGATTCCAGAATAATAAAGCTATAAACTATATTTGAATCTTTTAGACATTCATTATGGATAAAACAGAATGAAACACACCAATGGGGATGGGGTGCTTGTCTTTGATGACTATATGTGACATTCATTCTGTCCCTCCATTCTTTATGTGTCATTATCAGCACCGTTAATGATAAAAGTTCTAGAGGAATAAACTGTGTTTGGAAAACAAAGTGCTCAGAAAAATATTTTGAGCATAAGAAAGATGAAAGTATGTGATAGAAATATGAACTAGATCAAACTGAACACAATCCTGGGAACTCCCACACAAAAGTCCAACCCCTAGACTACCAGGTACACAAACCTTGCACAGTACGGTTACAGTAATCAAATCAGGGAGATTACTATGTTCTAAGTATAGTTAATTTAATCTGAAACAACATATAAGCCTACTACTACTTTCCTCTTCTTCTTCCACTTCTGTGATCTTGTAATTGCAGTAATTTTACATATTACAATGAATTACATAAAACACACAGCAGAGGCCTTGAGAAGCTAGTCAAGAAATTGTTCACTTTTCACAGAAACTAATAGTACTTCACAAAAGCCCAACACAGGACCCTTTCTGAGCCGCATTAATTCAGTCCACACCCTCTGACCTGATTTATCAAAGATTCACTTTAATATTATCTTCCATCTATTCCTAAATGTTCCAAAAGGTATTTTCCTTTCAGGTTTTCTGGCCAAATGTTAGAACTCAATTTGTTTTTACTTCCAAGCATGTTACATGCTCTGTCCACCTCATCCTCCTCAATTTGATCACCCTAATAGTATTTGGGGAAGAGTACAAATTATGAAGTTCATCATTATGCATTTTCTCAAAGTTCCTGCCACTTCCTCCATGTTAGGTTCAAATATTATCCTCATCATTCTGTTCTCAAACATCAAGCTATGTTCTTCCCTTAATATGAAAGACCAAGTTTCACACTCACACAAAACATAAGGTAAAACTGTAATTGCTTATATATTAATTATTATATCTTTACATAAAACACAGGAAAACAGAAGATTCTGGACTGAATAGTAGTAAGCATTCCCAAAATATAATCTACTCTTAACTTCATCATAAATGTAATTTTGATTTGTTACTTATCCCCAAGTATTTTAACTTTGACACATTTTCAGAAGATTTATCATCTACATTTGTACGATTTTGTCCTGCATTCTGATGATGAGACATGAACATATACTTAGTTTTCTCTGTGTCTACATCTAGATTAAGCATATTATATGCCAATATAATACAAAAGACAAGTCACTAGACAGGCATAGTAAAATCTGCAATGAAATACCTTATAATAAGGGACACTTCCAAGTTTTTTGAAGAAATGACCTTCAAAAATATCTTGCTGAATGTTGTCATTCATAATAACCAAACAATTAAGATCTGAAAGCATCTCTGTGACAATGTCAGTTACAACATGCTCCAGATCTTCATTGTAGTCAACTTTCTTCACATAGTTGTAAAGACTTGCAGATCTACAAACAAGGAAAAGAAATAAATTATAGAGTAGACTTGTAGACGAACCTGTTACTGTTCCATATACTGCTTTACTACTCTTGCTCTATTATGCCAGATGAATGCATACATTTCAGAATTAATTTCTTCATGATGCATTTTTTTGGGTTTTTTTGGTATAAAACATTAAATCAAAAACTGCAGCATAATTATAAATGATTGGAAAGGATGTGGAAAGAAATGGTAATAACCTGTTTCAGAGGCACTACCTCAGCATATATAGAACCATAAAACAGCTATTAAAGTACTTATGAACTGTTTCACATTGTACTATGTCTTACTTTTATGTCCAGTTTATTATGCTCTCATTAAATCCATGATCTAACAGTTTCAGACTCATACTACAGAATTGTGGTATTTTCTTCCAGTTGCCTAATTACTTACATGTATATCTGCATGGACAAACTTCTGTGCCTCTATCATATTATCCTATTCCCTATGTCATTTAATGAGCATTACCTACATCACTCTGTATGGTTACAACTGACCGAATACAAATTGATCACATTGGTCCAGCATTTCCTGAATGACCACACTCATATACATGGACAGACACTCCTTATTTACACACTTAAAATACATTTACCTCAGTTCCTTTATTCTTACAGCTCCTTCTACTTTTGTATCACCAATTACGGTCAGGTTCTGATGAACTATAAACACAAGACAAAGCCATGATATTATCAGTCTCATTTTTCTCGGAAAAATGGTACAAGGCAACTAAAGTGATTGACTAAATCACTTCATGTCCTCCATGGCTCTATGAGACATCCCTAATTTGCATTCTAGAAAAGGGCATCTCCTGGGCAAAATACAATTACTGGATTCATTACATATTAATGTTTCCTTGATGAGGTTTTAATATTTCAAGGAGTAAAGGCATGTGAGATGATTAATATATATTGGTGCATGCTCATGAATATGGGATGGTTATATTCAGTCAGAGACTGCACTTAATACAAAATTCTATTCCATATTGACTCTACACTCCCCAAACAAATATTCTTACAAACTATACATGTAATGACATTATAGCGCAATTCTTTGTTTAGTTAATGATACTCTATCAACTGTAATGGTACATAGTGCTGAATAAGAAACTGCAGGAAGATCATGAATGTAGAATTACGAAGAATTTGAGCACAATAGTCCACGGCCTATTTTAATGTTCCATCACTTGTCTAGATGAAATGAAATAAATCAGACATAAAGCAAACTGATAAAACTAATATTTAATTTTTGTTTTATTGACCCAACATAATATGAATGATAGTTGTTAATACGATAAATAGTCATATGCAGCCAACAAAAGATGGTCAACTTACATTGTTCCAACATAAAACCTGCTTCACATGTAGCTCAAATCAGACTTAATTTTCTGAAAAATGGCTACCTTTACAAACATTGGTATGACAAAATACAGAACTCATTAACACATAAAAATTTGATAAAAAATATTTTTAAGTCATGCATACTTAAAAGTTATAGAGTAAAAATAATTTGAATATGTGTCGTGTGATATCTACAGTGAAATGAATTGAAAGAGAAACTGTTAAAATTTGTGTTGTTAGCTTAGTTAAATGTAAGCCTCATTTGCTGCTTTTTTGCACATGACCATCTCGTATCTCATTTCTTGAGATAAATGAATGAGTACATCCAGAGTTACAGCCTCAACTGTATCTCTGAGTTTTCATTTCAAATGGTGTCAATAATTTTCACTCTCAACAGAGATGTAGTCCAATTCATAACAAAAGTAGAGCATGGCCCACAAATTCAAGGGGCAAGAAAATGTTGAACCTCCTCTTACAATCCACTGTCCTGAAAAATATTAATTTAGTTTATCGTGAATGACCTCTGGGCATTTAAGAGAACCACACATCCCTGAGCAGGATTGCTTATGAAGGTATAAATTAGAAGTCCCTTTTTCCACAGCATTAGAATTGAATAGAAGGTTCAAAATCTTGGCAACCTCAATCTCTAAACACTACTCCACTATCATTTTACCTATGGGAATATGTATAATAAATTCTGTTGAAAGTGAAAATTGATGGCACTGAATATCTTATGTGAAGAAAGAGAGACAATGTTGAATTTGTAACTCCAGATTGGTATGAGGTATGACCAAGAACAGAATGTTAACGAGGCATGTGCAGAGCGAAAAACAGACCTTAGGCCCTGCCAAAACTAAAGTAACCTTTTCACATCTCTCCCGTCATTTTGTTTGTCACAATTTTAGCATTAATAGTTACAAAATAGTAAAGCTTAATATATGCACAACTGTACACACATTCTATATGTCTCTGTTTGGTGCTAACTGGCCCATGGTACGCAAAACCCTTTCATACTATATAATAATCCGAGATATACTGGGTAAAATTTACACAATGACCGTAATTTTGAATTCGAAATTCATGGCACCGAACAACGCACAGAAATATCGCAAAAAGCACGGATGAATGCACCAATCCAACCATATATTATAGAAAGTGACAATCCCATTTATATTACTACTCTCTGACTCGAATGATAATAATCTAATAATGGGTATAGTAAACAATGTGCATGATTACGAATTCTTTGCTGTATGAAATTAAAGACTGCGATAACATGCACAATTTTATCACAACACGCAATTAAGTGTCTCATTTCGAGTAATAAAAGCTTCATCAACGAGAACACTCAAACAGGATATAGCTATGACCACGGTTCATCTACACACTTAACTCTGCAAGCTATCTTATAACCATATGATCTGTGCTCTCTATGTACTTTGGTGTCTTTTATGCTATCAATACTCATGAATGTGATTGTAGAGGTGGTTTAATAGGTGGATTGTCCTAATTATTAACAATTTCGTATGGAGTTTTAATCCAGACTGAGATACAAATATTATATGGAGAAGCAAAATATTCTCAATGATTTTGTAGGCGTTTTTTTATTTCCATTAGTATATGTTTCGTTTCATACTTATTACGTAGGAGGTTATGTGTAATAACCTTGTAAGCCAACGTAATAACCCCAAATATATAAACATATATTTTGGGAAGTCACGTTTGCAGTCAATGGCTTAATACACTTCGCGTTAGTTATGTCAGAAATAAAACAGCAACAAGAAGAAGAACGTGAAGTTCTGTTATCCATATATGATGGTGATCCAGCATTTAAACATCTTTCTCCAACTGTTTTCCAATATAAGGTAACCACTAACTGGGATTGGTAATGAAGTTGTTTATAAACATATATTAAAATGGGATATGTGTTATTATAATGTCACAATTTTTTGTTGATGGCAGTATGGAGAAGATGAGAGTCCAAAATCATTCTTATTGGAAATTTCCTGGGGTGCATCATATCCTGCAGAAAAGCCCTCTATCAACATGGACACTTTTTACAATAAGCACATGTAAGTTATAACATATGATACATTTACAGTCATAACCTAAGTTAGAAATTTTCCAAGAAAGTCATTGTGTTATGAGACTTCGGGAATTAAACTTTTCTGTGTTGAGCAGTAATACAATTTATCACAGTGCTATCTTCGGAAGAACAAACTTTCATTTCATTAACCTTATGCAAAAAACACTACAAATGAAAATGTATCATATGTAAAATCAACAAATACTACATTTGCAGTGTTCAACCTACATTTCAAAATGCTTATACAAATGTCATAATAAAATAACAGTAAAAACTGCTTTTTGTGGTACACTGTGCACTTAAATGCAATGAATTATAGTGGCAGCTTCTAATTAATTTTTTGAAGTATCTTTAAATGAACCACGCCTGCTTTATTCCCTATTTTACTTAAGTTTCTGTTGTTCAATAAATGCCTTCAGAAATGAATGATGGTGTTTTCTAACAAGTGGAACAAGATCACCCATCACTCACATTTTGAGGTACGTAGTTTGACTTAAGATCCTGACAGGTGTTTTATGGCATTCCTCATTCCCTCCAGGTGAATGGCAAGATAAATCCCAGTTTGCCATTAAGAACCGCTCCAAGTCTCAGTACTGTGATATAATGCTGTTTTTGTTACACAGTGTTCCGGATGTAAAAGACCAAGTTGTGTCCCAAGTGAAAGAAGAAGCAGAACAATATCTGGGCACAGCTATGACATATACACTATTTGAGTTTGTGAAGGAGAAATTGGAAGAGTTGTTAGCTGGCCAACCAGACAGCTTCGTGAATGATGTGACTGACAGTATCGACAGGATAACTATATCTGGAACACAGGTACAAATCCTATGTACAATTCACTTGGAACTGATAATATGCTAGCATGAATTTATGAATCTGTAGTAATTGATACTACATACTGAGAAGGCTCTTAGCTGAAACCTAATTTGTCAGTTTGAAACATGGATATTTGACATAAACTGGTACACATATTTATCTAGCAATGCACTGAGAATCAGAAATAATAATCTGGACTCCATAAATACAACTTAAAACTTCTAGCCACTTGGCAAAATCCAACTGTATGCCTTATACATATAGTTTTATAGAAGATATTTAGAAGCTCACTGTTAATATCAAGTTCAATGAAGTTACAATACAAGTGATCAACGTGCTTTTACAACACATACATGATGATAAATCCACTTGTTCTTTGCAGTTTTAATACTAACTAGATTAAAAATATACTTGCAACCAATTTCTACATCCATGGTAAGCCACCATCACAAGTGACTAAACTATTTGATGTTATTTTTATGTGTAGTGTTATTATTAATGTGGCATTGTATTATCATATACTTATTAATTTCATTTGGCAGGCACTGGAATCAGCCTCTAAAAAAATGGTAAAAAAGGAACAGCTAAGCAAGGCACAGAAAAGGAAGCAGTGGGATCGTGTAGATGGAAAAGGAGACAGGCCTAGAGGTTGGAATTGGATTGATGTGGTGAAACACTTATCACAGACTGGACCTAAACAGTCTCCTGACAGTGAGCTTCCAACAACGCCATCACCACCATTGAATTTCTAGTATATTCATGTCAACTTGATGAGAAAAAATTATACTAAATATGTTCTGTCTGAAACAAATATTTACACACTAAGAAAGTACACTCAGTTGACAAGTTAAAAATAAATTCTCATAGTTTTGCATGCACAGCTACGTGAAGAAGTAATTAGACATGTGTTCAAATGCCAAGTATTAGTTCTTAATCCTTTACATATGACACATGTATGCCCTTCACTGAATTGTGAATGTATCTGTCTCGTTATGTGGCAGGAAGTAAAGTGAGCGTAGAAATTGTGATGATTTTGAAACAGTTGCTTCTTGTGTGATGGGGGGAGGAGGCGAGAGAGAAAATTTAAAATTTATGTTCAGTGGGAATAATATGTGAAGTTCTAATAAATATCTGTATCTTAGCTTGTGTAAACTTTTTTCTTCCTCAGACAAGTTTGAATTTGTGAATTGAGCATGGCTAGGTAATTAGTCTGGATGTAAAATTAAATAATGTGCCTATCTTCAATAAACTGTGTGCATGCATTATATATGTGATTATCTAAAAGTTTGTTTCAGTGGTTGATTCATTAAAGGAACACTGTTGGGTCAGGTCCATTGTAAAGACTTTTTTCTGGACCCTGGTTGTTTTAATAATGTTAAACTGATATAATGAACAAATCACCACAAATTACATTTTGTACTTGATGGACTTCTTCAGCTGATGAGAGAACTTAGAAAACAGAACAAGACTTTTTCACCTTAGACTTAACTCCTCGTTGAAATAAAATTATTCATTCTTGTCAAAGTTACTCCATTCACTTCTCCATTCATCAACTGTAATATGGTGACTTCGTGTATTCCAGCCTGAAAGTATATTATTGCATCAATACATTTTCTACTCATGAAGAATTGCATCATCTAGTATCAAGAATGAATTGATTCAACAGGTAAGGATGTTGCTTATGGACTTACAGTTTATCATACCATGTAGTCTTGCAGGAGGTTACAATATTCACGGTTGAAGAGGGAGCAGATATGTTCTAAATGATGATAATCACCTACAAGACTACAAAGTGTCACAACACAGAAGACCACAACCAAAATCTTCACTATAGAGATAATATAAAATATTACTTTTTTCTCCTCCTTCCTCATGTGGCAGAAAAATTCACGAAAAGAGACCCACACATTCATGCAGTACAGGATTCGAATGCCTCAATGTGCTTATGAATGAATCGTGTTGTCTCACAAAATTACATTTTGTGTCTTTCAGAGGTAGTTAACCTCTGTTAAACTATTTATTATTAGTTTGACATTTAAATACCTTGCTTCTGTATCGCTTCTAGGAATTCTGGAAATTCCTTTGACACTATATCATCTGCAGCCTTCATAGCTACCACAGGAATTTTCATATTCCTGGAAATTGTATTGGTTGTGTTCAGTTTTATCAGAGTTTCTTGCAGATGGTGAACAGGACACATTAAAGATGATCTACTTTGTTGTTCATTTAGTACCATCTGTGAAATAATTCACCACACAATAACAATTCCAGACACTCTTAACACACATAATTTAACTGCACTAAACTTTAATTACTTACCAGTGGATGTTCCCTGATTATGCATATGGCAATGCCCAACAGCACTGCATGGAAATAAGCTTGAATTACATCAACTGCAGTCTCTCCTTGTAAAAAAGTCACAAACATTCTCTTGCCTTTAATGTCGACTATTATCAAGTACTTCTTTGAGCAATAGAAACCGGTTAACAGCTTTATATCTTCAGTGCATATCTTACCATAGGCCATGGCATTTTGTAATGAAGCACCAAGTATGATTCGGAATCCACACAAGTTACGATCTGTGAACAGAAGGTACACAAAAATCTACTGGGTTGTATGCCATATATTACTGGAAGAAGACTCCACTTTGAGTTTCCACAGACTAAATTCTACTAAACTGGTATGTAAACAACAGAATTTATGACACTGCAACTTTAACTTTTTTACATGTGTTAACTCAGGTCACTTTACCTCTAATGGCTGCCTTTACATGAATCAGAATTTTATTTTTTAATTCACTTAAAAATCTTTTAAACCTCTGAAGCTTATATAAATAATACTGAAAATCCATCTCTACATCAAAGAAAACAACACTTCTCCATTACATAATCACTGTGTATTCTGAGAAATATATGTAACCTATGAGGGCAAAATGCAGAGTTACTGAATGTTAAAGCAGGTGGCATACATAGTTAAGAGTTCAACCGTTCATCCTTCATGTAAAATGATGAACTACATACAGTTGATTAGTTCTTCATGAATAAATTTGTGCCAAGTAACTATGAATGCATATGAAAAATTTGTGAACCCTTAACTGGAGTGCATCTTTCCATTCTTGTTTTCCTAACTCAAATTACAGAGGTATAAATGAAATTAAAAAGCTTCAGTGAAGTCCATAGTTTTCAATTACCACAATTTTACTGTAATTTGTATGTTTGATTACCAGACATTCCTGTTCCTAGTATCACAGGTTCATGTCTGTTGATGACTTCAGGTGAAGAAACAATCTTCATACCAAGGTGCATTCGAAGCAGCAAAATAAGACGTGCATTGTTTAATGTTACCATTTTCAGAGATAGCACTGCTTGGTAGTTAGCATATAGGTGGATGACAGTGAAGACAGTGAACAAATGCCACACAAATCTGTGTACAGGGAAGAAGGCATTAATACACATTATATGGACAATGCACTCAAATACACACTATACCAAGATGAAGAATATACAGATACCTTCACACTCCCAGATACCACAAAAGAACCAAATTTTTACCATGTTCAAGGGAACATAAAGTGATCTGAAAGTATTATAGGTTCCTTATTACGAATCCTCAAACGCTCACCATAATTATTTAAAGGACACCTTTTAAGCTATGAGGTGGTTCAACAGAAACATGCCCGAGGCTGATTACATAATATCTACTAAGCTCACTGAATAAAGTCTGAGTATTCAGACATGCATCCCACTAAGTTAAAGAGTAATGATGAATACCTATCTCAAAGAATTCCAAAGGCTGTTGCTGGAAAAAGTAACGAACAACTTGCTTCACTTGAACATCCAACTGGAATCAGCATCCCTTGAGTGCCTGCTTTATTGGCCCAAAGATGTGGAAGTCCCAGGGGGAGAGATCCAGACTATGCCAGATACTCCAGTACCTCCCAGCACATATGCTGCAACTTAGCCTTGACGGTGTTCACTATATGATACCTTATCCTACACTTCTAATAGTCATGGGATTACACTGATAATCCTACTCGTGACAGACTGCTCTGGGCCGGTTTCTATTGAGAGAGATGACCTTTCCATATACTATACTTCATACAGAGAATATAAAAATGTGGAACATGAAATATAATGTTTCATTAAGGGCCATATAATCAATAGCAATTCAATAGTGAATAAACTACCAAACTGTGTGCAATATCTACTAATTCAATCATCTAGACCTTCCTGCATGGGTATGGCTCCTTTTAGTTCTTCAAATCACTTACTCTCCTTCAAGTGTGGACAAAATGATGATGCCAACAAAAGATGCGCATAAGTTGACAAAAGTTTCTTGGCTTCCATCCTTTGCTGAAACATCTGCCATATTGTTTCGAATTGCCTGCAATAAAATATTTTTAATTTTGGTAATGGCAAGCATATTATCCAAGTCATGGAGAAACAATATGATAATCACCAGCTTTACAGTTAGGCCCAAGCAATGGCCTGATCCATCCTCATCAAATCTCCTTTGATGAAGCCAACTTTTTCAGAACCTACTTTTTAAGATTCGCTAATATTAGCCCCCTTCTAAGTCAGCATTTCTGAACCTTGAGCTAAAAGTCAAACTAACAAATATCCCTTTTCTATGGAGACTTTCTTTCAAACATGTAATCATTTACTATTGAAATTACAATATAACACAAGTACTCTTTTATACAGACTTTATATATTCCATATCTGACAAGGTATGGAATATGTCTCGTGTACTTCTGGTTTAGAACTGCTGTTATAAATGGCCACATTCAAGTAGCTATGGAAAAATATGAAAAGTGGTCAGTTTATTTTTTCATGACAATATGCAGAGATGATATGTCAGAAAGGGTTAACTGTTGTCAATGTTGATCTTAAAATGGAGACAGCATGTTTTTCTGAAATATTGGTATCTCTCAAATCTCATGCGGGTCAACTCTTTATGCAAAGTGTTGGGACTGGAGTTGAAATGACTATGACCACAGTTCTCACATCACAATTCTGATAGGTTACATACTTGCCTCAGAGTTCATACCTGATGTTGAGTTATAGCTGCTCTTGTGGCTCCCCCAGCTACACCAACAATGGACTTTAATGCTGTTGCAATGCAGAGAATATGTGTTGAATATGTCATTAATACTGGCACGAGAAGCTCAAATGCCATTGCCATATCATTTAAAACATCTGCAAAGAGGCGCCATTTCTTGCAGTCTCCATCCAAACGAGAGCTAAAATAGTGACCTCAAAATCAGATACACACAAGCTCAGAAAAGATTTACTGGAGGTTACAATAAAATTGTAAAAATGTCAGGTTTTTAGCTTCATCAGATACAAACCTAAGGGCTAAAGTATATAACACCACAATTTTACCTGGTTTATTTTATGGAATAAAACTGGGTCTGAAATTGAGGTGTAGTTACCAAATCCCTGACAAAAGATCCCAATACTACATAACATGCATAAATAAAGTCTTAAGTTGCCCGATTCAAACCTATATGACCTAGGTAATTAAGCATATGTCACTAAATAAGCTAAGAAGTTACTAAGAAGGAAAGCTAATTAAGTATTCATACAGTATATGTATGTGATATGCAAAAGGTGGTCAAATTATTCAAATATACATGGTTCTCAAAAACATGTATGTGACTTACTTCCTTACCCCTCAAACCAAGCAAATGCTATTCTTCCAACCATTCCTGTTCCATCCTTGAGAATCCATGTAACTGCTGCAGCAAAGGGTGTGGCAGCAGTGTCCCCAACACCAACACCTTTCATGACAGCCTGTGTGGTAAGTGTTCCAGTGATGGTGCTACAAAATGCCTGACAAAAATCAAATTTAAGTTTTGTGTCCAGGCAGAAAAGAGTTAGGAATTTATGTTATGAATATGAAACAACATTTCTTATAAAGGAAAGTTTTTTATATGTGATAGAATCCCATTAGGTGTCAATTTTTTTATTAAGGCAAGGATCACACTACAAAATCAGCTGTTCCATCACAATTCTCAGGGCAGACATGCAGAATGAAAGTTTAAAATACTAATGATGGGGCAGAAATTATATAACATAGACTTTAAAGGCTTAGTATAAAAAGGGAATTTATGGAGGAATAATAAATCCTTTGAAAGTATTACAAAGTTAAAATATTTGGGAACAACAATAACAAATCAAAATGACACTCATGAGGAAGTTAGGAGGAGATTAAATTCTGGAAATGCTTGCTACTTCTCAGTTCAAAATATTTTGTCTTCCCGTCTGATTTCTGAGAACCTGAATATTAAAGTATACAAAGCAATAATTTTGACTGTTGTTTTTTATGGGTGTGAAACATGGTCACTCACTCAGAGGGAGTAACACAGATTGCAGGTGTTTTAGAATAGGGTGTTGAGGAGGATATTTGGACCTAGGACAAAAGACGATGGGGTATGGAGAAAACTGCATGATGATGAGCTTAAAAATCTGTACTCCTCCCCCAATATTGTCAGGGTGATTAAGTCGAGAAGAATGAGATGGGCTGGGCATGTAGCGCGCATGGATGGGACAAGAGGTGTGCACCGGGTACTGGTTGTCTAGTTAGTTCGTAGAAAGAACATGTAAGACTGTTAGTATGATATGGATATGCTTGTCAAATACAGGAAAACAGATAGCTAAGCAGAATCCTACAATTTAATATATGGGGAGAGAACAAATGATCATGTGAAAACTGAGAATTGGAAATGAGAAATGATAAAATGGCTGGAAGAGTTCAACAAAGGCACCGAGATACTTCTATTAGACCATATGCAGAGCAGCTTTAGCATACACCTAACTTTCTACTATAAGAGAAACCCTAGGCTATATTCTGGGAATATAAACTGTATCAGCATGAATTTGCATATTGGTTATGTAAATATGCTGTCAACAGCTCAGATTACATACCATTAAACTATACAATGACTAGTGAACAATAAATTGGAAAGGATGTGGAAAGAAGCAGCCTGGCAGCACTATGTAAAACAACAAAAAAGGTCAGTATAGCTTGTCTCTAGACCATGATATGAACCCAGAAGATGTATAAAATACAAAGCAGGAGTAGATGCAATGGTGGAACAGACTAATTACCTCTACAGGGTGCAGAGGTTAAGGATGCATGGGGCTGTACATGACTTCTACATGCCCTTACAGTAGGATAATTAGACATTGGGGTAACCTAACCCAGAAGCTGGTGCTAACATAAGCTACGATACTAACATATTTGAAGAACTCTGAGCAACTCAATGCAACTTAGAACAAATGAGTCACTCAGTTAGCAAGTAAGTTAATGTACCATGTTAAAGAAGACCTAACCTGTACTGTATCCCAGATTTGGTATTTGTAATAGTCATCACTAACACTTTCAGGATATCCTTGGGGCAAAAATACTTGACAGAAAAACTGTAAAAATCTCTCAGAGAATGTTGTTGATAGTGTCAATAAAGAACGGAGCTGCACAACTGAATTCTGGTCTGGAAAGAGAGAAGCACACATTAAGTTTATTAAAAGGACAATACAATCATCAAAATCTCATAAAGCAAGCATGCAAAACACACAACACACAAATGTTATTATATAATTTGCAATGACTAAAAAAAGAAAAGCTCTGGATGCTGTAAAATTATTTTGGAAATGTATCATATTATACTAATCGATTAAACTGGACAAAATCAAAATTCTAAGAACCCTTTAAGATAACAGCATATTGAGTTTTCATCTTCAGGCAAAGAGTCCACAATTTTAACCTTTTAACATGTAACATATAGAGCTCACATATGGGAAAAATTTGTTTTGAAAGGCAGTTAAACTGTTACTAACATCATCTCAGAGGCATAATCAACCAGTCTACTCAAATAGCTGAACATGCAAGGGCATGCATGGTGCAATGTAAAGATGTTTTCAAAGGTTAAAGTATAAGAAGAAAATGAAGAAATCTCAAACAGAAATTTTGAATAAGGCATTGAATATAAATGTTGACAATAACACACACATGTATTTTTAACTAAATAATGCCCATGGACATGGCTTGTGATATGTACATTGTAAAATTGGCACTATCTTATCCGTGTGTTATGTCATGTGACAAGAAGTAAGAATAAAGTTGAAGAAAACATGATTCTATTTCTTAAGCTGTTGATCCATATTAATAGAACATATGTATAGGAAATAAGCACATAAATTTGAAGCTGTGAGAACTGATCTTTTTACAGTGGCAAGTACAAAGATGACTGTCTTCCGAGTTGTTGCACCACATAATCTGTAGTCAGGGTGATGAGTGCCCTGAGGATGGAGGCGGCAAACACCTCTGAAATGTTAGTAAACTTCTGCCAAACTACTGCAAATTTTAAGATGACCCTCTGAAAGATTCAGGAACTGGGGGAGTGGAGAGACATGGTTTTTTATGTCAGATAACTATTTTACATGACACAAGTGATATAACAATGCACAAAATGCATGTGGGCAAACAAAACACATCAAAAGGCCACATGTTTAGTCTCCTTTACATAACCAGTCTAACCCCTCATTCATGCTACTTATGAGTCTGTACAAACTGAAGATATCATTGGCAAAATGTTAATTACGAAGCAGATTTTTCAAATCACATGACCTTACAGTTATCCACCATCCATCTTCCTAGTCTGTTTAACTTTAAAAGAGGCAATATTATAATGCTGAAGAGTGAAACAAATGGTCGTGGCCTATTCCATGAACGAATTTCGAATTTTGTCTGCAGAAACTCATGACAGCAGAGTCCTATGTCGATATGGATATATTCAAACTACAAATCAAGGGTGAGCTCGTGGAATTGCAAAACGACATTTGTTTATGTCTTGAATCCATATATACACAATAACCAACTAGATGGCTCGGGGAACCCGAGGGTTCGTCATCCAATTAACCAAAGCCCTCCATTGGCCCATGTCCTGGGCCAGCAAAATCAAATCGCCTATAACTTCTATCTCCCATTGGCCCCGTTTGATATTACCCTCCTATCTACGTCTACGTCTCCCCAGCGGTCTCTTCCCTTCAAGCTTCCAGATATATATATATATATACACATACATACACACATATAATACACAATCAAAAATACCTAGTGGCTTTACATATACTATTCTTCTACCAAGTGCTCCGTATTGCTCACGAAATATAATTTCATTTGGCATTTTTTAATCTGAACCACAGCAATCTTAGAATATTACATAGAAATTTGATATTTTCTAAATAACCAAACAATATAACAATCTGATGCGTAACTCAGCTGGCAATGAACATCATGCTCATTGTGCTGCCACCTGAGACAATGGCGGCGTGGTGGTGGTAGCAGCAGTGCTGTTCAGTCGGTAAAAAGAGTACCTGCTATTCAACTTGCACTCCATACAACCCTCACAGGCCCGAGTCATATAAAACCAACCAATAATTTTGGAACAGGAATGACGGTATGATCCAAGGATTGATTCTCCTTCCCTGCTGCAAACAGTTTTCTTTAACTCAAGCGGGTTATGTTCAAAAAGTAACGCCGTATTTCCCTCGGCTTCCCAATTCAAAAGTAGTGGAGAAGGGGGCTAGTTGTTATATTTTACTTTAAAAACCACTTATTTGCAGCAGCATCTCATGAGTCTCGTATCAATTGCTTCTCCCCTGTGCGCAGTTCTACCCAAGGTATGGTACTTGTAGCTTGTATATTACGTGAGCTAGGTTGATTTAAGTGTTTTTACTAGTAAAAAGTAAAATTTTTCTTCTGATTTTGAACTCACTTCCACGACCGCGTGATAAAAGCGAGTTCTTCAAAATTTCCTTAACTAAAGCTCTTTATATTAAGAGCAATGCGTGTACTTCGTTCTTCACTACAGTCGAATATTGACACTGCTTTGACTGTTAAATGAAAATGGCGTACAGTGGGGCCAGTTACACTGGGCAAGGGGCACCTTATTACAGTGTATCATCGTGACCCGTATCTTGCGTTTGCAAATGGCTACACTTTATTGTTTTATCATGAAAGATGGTACGAACGTACAAAAGGAAGACTATTAGAGGTAATACAAGTTTGGAAAAGTTTAAGTTAGCAGCTGATGAAGTTTCTTCTGGAAGAATCTCGTTAAGGCAAACTGCTAATATATGATGAAAATGTTTCATATGTTTGAAGTTAATTTCTGTAATTAATTGCTTAATGAAGGTCTGAATTGTTCCTTCTGTTTACTAATGCAGTGTGTTGTAACAACTCTCCCCTTCACTGTAACAACTAGCACCATAACAGGGCACATTGTTACAAATCACCTCTCTTAAATAAACAAGTTTTGTGATGAACCAAAATTTAATAGGCCTTTGAAAAAATGTTATTAATATAGCCAAATAGTAGTAGTACCTGAAGCCATAATTGTTAACTTTGTAAATTTTAAGAATAAATATACGAAAAATCGTAATTGAAAATTGTAAGAACTAGCCCCAGTCTCCCCTACATGGAAAAGAAGCGTCAAACCGTTATAAAGAGTCTTTCCTTACAACCTCAGCTCGAAGTCGCCATTTATGTTTGCATGCAATTTAAATCCAATCGTTGTAATAAAGTCAACAATTAAAAATATCGTCCCACAACCCTGATTGTTGGAGGCAGTAAGAATCCTGAAACGTCTGTCACCTTCTACAAGACTGTATGGTGGAATATCCCAAAAGGCTGTTATCTTCATACTCACAGCAATGAGAACCTGAAAGCCTTTCAGAATTAAAGTTTAGGAAAGGATTTCGAACTTCTACCAGACTACACGGCGCAACAACCCAGAAGACAGCCATCTTCAGACTCATCACCGTGATAAACTCAAAACCTACGATTTCGAAAGAAGATTAAATCTATGCTACCAGCTACAATATGGAGTCTAACAAAACGTTTGTTTATAAACAGGTCTATTCAAAACTATAAACTCTTAAGCGTGAGAAATAAACATTTATTTATTTCAGTTTCTGCTTAAGAAGTGCATCTTTCTGTAAAACAAAGCCGAAATAAAGCTCAAACGAGTAAGACGTTGAGCAAACATTTTCAGCTGAAACACAAGAAACATTCCCTCAGTAGACGCCAGTAAAATTTATTTAAAAAGGAATTGTACATGCCTATATTTATGAGGACAAAGGCATTGTTTTAAAAGTGAAAGATTTTTGGGAATGGACACAACTTTTAATACCTAGGGCGGACCGCTACAACAATTTTCAAGGAAGCATTTCGGGTCAAAGCAAACTTTGCTTCCAGAACCATTGGCTGCTTTCAGGCAACGACGGGAGTTCGCACACTGCCACAAAATAAAATGATTTTGTAACAAAACCAAGCTAGAAACCAAAATCAAGAGATTACATTTCACTGATTAAACTTGTATGTCGGGCTGGACATTTGTCTCTGGTTGCCCTCAAAACAAAGCAGATTAAATCAATAGTTCACCAATTGGTAAGAAGAAAGTAGTAACAACTGAACAATTGAAAACATTAATTCAAACATTCCTTATTACTTTAGATTTATTTTTAATTAATAATAACTCGGAAAGGATATTAATTATCGTTATTCCTCTCGTCAGAATTATTAATATTACTGTTATTATTATTCAGTTAAATGATCTCTCTTCTCTCTTTTTCCTTATTTTTGATCTTGTTTATTTAATATTTTTAATTGCTGTATTTCAGATGTTTTAGTATGAATTGCCTTTTTCTTTGTTTTATGCAATATATTCAAGGGTCATAGGGAAATAGGGTTCTAGGGTGTGGACTGTATTCAGCTGGTTCAAGATTGGGACTGGTGGCGGGCTCTTGTGAACACTATAATGAACCTTCGGGTGTCATCATAGGTGGAACATTTCTTTCGCTATCTGAGTGTAATATTAAGTTTCTCAAGAACATCTCTGTTCTGGAGTGAGTTATTGTTTTATTTTATTACGAAACCTCTTTTAAACATGTTCTGGGCAGGGAAAGGAGTCAGGGAGTGAGATGAAAGTTCTTACGACCCACTGGTTAAAAACTCTGGGCTGGAAGTCACTTCCGTTCGCCTATAGTATGTAGCACAAGAAACGGGGAGCGTGCCGGCTGCGATGAGGGACAGGTGGACGGAAGGTGAGCTTATCTTCGGTAACAGCAGATGGAGGAAATTCAATGTTACAGACTTGGTTTCCACGATGCGCAACAACACTCTCCAACACCTGGCTTTGAGGAATGCGCTGTCGAGTTGCAATCTGCAGCTGGCTAGGGGTCCCTTGCGCTTACGCACATTCTCAAATGTCTATAAAATATACGACTTATTGCTGTACTGTATACATCCTCTTCCAGTAGCTTGCTGAGACTTTGTTTCGGTGATTTTGTTTAAAAGACAACGAACGTTACACGTTACTACATGGATTCACATACCAACTGTGGTATACTCCAATGGAGTACAGACCTACACATTTCCCAAAAGCGTTATTTGCTATTTTGTGAACCTCACTGGCCTTGTTTTGTTTAC